AATATATAGTATATATATATATACACACACACACACACACACACACACACACACACACACACGTATATTACGCGTATCATACGCAAATTACCATATAATTAATTTAAAATAATGCCGTATATGCATGACCCTATAGACGAGCCGATGCGATCAAAGAGAAAGAAGATATGAGTTTTTTCAGCGGCAAATAACCGCGACACACACGTCACACAAATACTCACGCACACGCGTATACACAAAAGCTATAACACACCCTCCACATCCCCGACGTCTAATCGTCTAAGGCTGAGTTACACCGATAGTTAACTATCTGCTCTGATTGGCGTGTGAGTCTAGCGATTCATGATTCTTCATTAGATTATAGTTCCACTTACAACACATAGACAAACAAAAAAATTTTAGTTAACCAGCGTCGGTGATAACCAACATATAGGTGCAAACTTAAGATTCATACAGCGGGAGATCAAACGATCGGTAAAGGATCGAGTTGAGAAAAGGTAGTATATAAAATATACATATACATAGAAAAATGTCGCGTAATCTTCGTCCGCGATATACGAAGCATCGGTCGACAAACGCTAATTTAACGGGAAGACGATCGAAGGAGAAAGGAAAAAAAAGAAATAAAAATCTAAAGTTATATGAGAGAAAGACCGAGCGCGAAAGGAATAGGGAGAAAGACGATAAGAGCGTGCATGAGAGTACGAAAGAGTTACCCATTAGGATTAAAATGCGTAACCGTTAATTGCGGCCGCGATTAGATGTAGGGACTAAAATGGGCTAGCGAGGAAAGACATAAACGTGAGAGTGAATATTATATTATAATCTATATATCGCAAATATGGCTGGACATCGGATGTTGCGTCCCATCGCGCTTCCAGTAATATTTCGGATATTAGGAGAGTCCCAAGGTCCACTCAACGTAAACGAGAGGTAGGCTCTTTTTGAGATCCAAGTCTCAATTGGACTACGTTATACAATTAATATAATGCAAAAAACAAATAAAACAAATAAAATGATGCTTCAGTCTAAAGGTTGCATTCTGAAGTCATTTTCCCATATTTTAACTTGTGACTTGTGATCATTCCTCCTTCATTCAGATAATGTCACTTAACTTATATTGTATAACGCAATCCAATTGATGAGTGAATGAGTGAAGATTGAATAGATTCTAATGGATTATTGGTAATTGAAGTTTAGGTTAACTTTGCCGTGACCTTACGCTATTGCGCGGAAAGACGAGAGGAATTTCAATTAGCGTGAGAATAGAAATGATTATTCAAGTCACATGAGAGCTTCCCGGACGATTAAGAATGATCGACATGTAGTGTTATTTCTTTAAATAACCGGACGAGAAGGTCCATTTCAATAGATGGCTATCATCACCGAGTAATTATTAACATTCATAGGCTAATTGCAAGTTGCATCAACGATCTTGTTCAATTAACTCTGAATTATCGGTTTAACAGCATCTTCTAGATTAAATTTCTAGCTACATAATATAGACAAGGAAAAGAAATTTCATGTTTATCTCGATTAATGATAATCGACATTGATACAAATACTTGAATTTTTATGCGTGCGTTCTTTTGTAACATATAAACTATAATAATCGTTTAATAACGGTAGAATCCAGTGACAAAATGTCACTGGATTCTAAGAACGAGATAAAAAATTATAGATTCTTCCACATTATCTGTAAACGTATTAAATTTTTTTATTTGTAAAAATTGCACGCATAAAAAGAAATCTCATACTGCTGTTATTATAATACAATGGCAATGCGTTAAAAATACATAATGTACGAGTGTGAAAGGTCTCATCGCATTGGCAGAGGATTTACGAGAAATTCCTCCCTTCTTTCTGGTGACAAGGGCCACATCGCCCCTAATAAATTATGCGCGTAATTTATATGACTGGGACATTCGCGTTTCGTTGATATCGCAGAATAAATGGTTCCTTATTACATATTATCATTACTATAATTAAATTCACAAGAAAGAGCGTCGATCGATAAATTATAATTATATAAACGACGATTATATACGCGATTATTATATGCGTGCTGTTATTATTATTGCATTAAACAACAGGGTAAACAAAAAAAAGAGAGAGAGAAAAAGAGAAATAATTTTATTAAATTGGATTGGACATGCGTCACGTGGAACGGCAGTCATTTTGTTTCTTTTGATGAACGTACACGCAAGGAAAGAAAAGAATTAATAATAATGCGTGTAAAACGAGTCAATTCTTAAAGAACGTTAGCAATACTTTTTCATGACCACAAAGAGACGTACAGCGACAAGAGATTAAAGTATATCGACAAGAAGTGACAGTATTCTTAAGTTCCTAAATTATGCGCGCGACATAAAACTCGGTTCGTTTGAAGATACAAAAAAAAAAAACAATATATTGAGACTGGGAAAAGACACAAAGTGGGCAAACTGCGATCGCGTGTGTCACCAACGTTTTGTACATCGCCTATCCTCTTGTGAACAAAACAGAATGATGCTATCCCGTTATAGTCCAGAGAATGATAAAATATGGAAGGAAGCGTGATATTTTCAAACAAATGTTCAAAATAGGCATATTGCATAAGAAGATATAAAAAAGCGATCGACTTTATTCGCACAATTGCCTTTTTTAATCAAAAGTATAAATGAAATTTTCTTTGTTGAAATAATTATTATTTAATAAAAAAGCCATTTTTTTATAAATACGAAAGTTAATGTATATTTTAGATTTTGAAAGTAATGAACAGAATATCAAAAAAAAAGTAGATTCAAAATCTTGATTGCTAGAATAAAAATATCGGCTATTACCGTAAGAAAAAGAAGATTAATGTGCTGTAAAATTGTGATAATTTGTGACTGTAATATTATTTTTCTCCGTTGACTGATTTGAAATAGTAAAAATTGAAGAAGAACAGCCAATAAATATATTTTTAATTGAATGCAATACATTCGCCATATAATAAAT